AGGATTTTGAGCATAACCTTGCTAGCGTGTGAAATGAGTGCAATTGTACGGTAGTTGGAGCATTCTTTGGCTTCCCTTCTTTGGGATTGGGATGTAGACTAATCTTTTCCAATCCTCTAGCCACTGCTGACTTTTCCATTGATGGTGATTAAAAAAACAACACTGGTCCTTTGATATTGGGCTGTGGCACCAGGGTGGGTGACATGACCTTTAGCCTGGTTTGTTCCTTTTTGCACACCACACAGAGAATGATTAAAGTGGTAGGAAAAGCCCCCCGCTAACTCTGTGTTGGCTGTCTCTAGCAAGCACGTCATTGCTAGCACCACTCTAGCAGACACTGATGGTTAAATCCTCTGTGAGCTAGCAAAAATTTAATGCAACTTGCTAGGCACATTGGTCACCTTACTACTCCCTATACCACCCCATGGCTGGAGTGCAATGTGTTCCAGAAAAAATAGTGCACATCTTTATTAAACTTGGTGCATCCTGCTATTTCAGTACATAGCCTGGCAGCCATTGATACTGATGATATACTCTGCTAGTTTGGTACACAGCCTGTGTAGATTCAATAATATTTTGAATTTAAATCATGTATGATTTCCTTCCTTTCAAACCAAGGGGGTAATGTTGGTGTATATAAATTTTTGGGGTAGTAAAGGGTAAAAAAGTTCCCTGACCCTGCTATAAGTCAACTCCAACTTGGTAGGACATCACATACATTTTTGAAATATATACTGTACATCATAATGCTCAGAAACATATATGAAGCCTTATCTTAGTATGAAACTAGAACCTAGAAAAGTTTGTTGGCTCTCATTCAATACCTTTGTTTATACCTCTTTGTTTATGCCTCAACAGATGGGAACCTTGACATCTGAGCATTCAGCCTGGAGGCAGGCGGTGCATCACGGCCTCTCCCATATTGAAGAGACACGTGTCCAGCAGGCCTTAGCCACACTTCCAGCAGGCCTTAGCCACACTATATGCTGTTCCAAGTCCTCTATTCAGAGCACATTACCATAGTCTCTCGAGACTGTGGGATGCCTAAGTTACCTCTTTGTAATTCATCCATTAATGTTATTCCTGCTCCTGTTATTTCAAACATGTTTACAGGATAGACGGCAAGGCCTTCTCAGTACTGTAAAAAATAGACAGTATATCTGATCTATTGATGAAAGCTTTTCAGATGTCAGTGGCCTGTATTCAGAAAAAGAAACAAGAAAGATTATTTATAGTGCACATGTGGGCCTGGAGTTAGATGACCACCAGCATCTAGAATTCTCTGCTTCCCTTGACAGCTATTTATGAGGTATTGCGTGACTGCTTCCCTATGCCAGGTGTCTGTGGAAGTGGAACACCTACTCTACAATTGCCCTCCTCCGTTTTTTCCTATTTACACTGCGCCTTTTAAAGTGTAAAAGTCTCTTAGGGCAATTATATGAAGGTCAAAACTTTGGGTAATTTTCACTGAAACTTCAATTCTGACAAAATTCATATACACAACCACACACATACATGCACGCACAGCTTGAAATCCTGGGCATTAAGTTTTTGCTCATGCAGCTTTCTAAAGAACCAACCCCCCCAAAGTTTCATCCTCCATGTGTTTACGAAAATGTGATTTCCACTGAGTACAGGGGACTTATTCATCAGCAAGTGTTTATAAGTATAGCCTAGCAGTCATTCCCAGCCTTGGGTCCCCAGATGTTCTTGGACTACAAATCCCAGAAATCTTGGCCAGCAGAGCTAGTGGTGAAGATTTCTGGGAGTTTTAGACCACCCTGTGGACTCAAGGTTGGGAGCCACTAGACAGATTTTAGCCTTGGTCAACAAAAACATCATCGTCCAGTATCTACAAACCATTTGGTGCCTGAGGAGCCTCTATGGATATCAAGAAATAAACAAGGCGCTACAGCTACAAAGCTACACCAGAGATTGAAAATATTACTTGGTTGGGCTACAACTCTCCATGACCCATGCTACTAGATGGGGAATTCTTGGGCAAAACAAGGTGCTGCTGTTTTCTGGTTCTGGGTTATATGAGTTTCTAAAAGTTAAAGCTAGTACTTCACATTGTGCTTGGAAATGGACTGTATTCAGCCAAAAGGGCTTAAAATTAGATCTAATCCACCTGACCTGTCCTGTGTGAATGGAAGGAAGTGATAGGCGCCCCAATACCACAGGCTGATGGGTATTAATCTTGCACAGAATCCAGACTTGAAAGAGGTCTGTGATTCTATTAGTGAAATGCATGGCTATGAAATCTTGTAGTTACACCAACAGGATTTCAGCTAAACTTAGAACTGCAGAGCTGGAAGGATGGGATCATTGAGTCCCAGCGCCTGTCAGGGAGGCATAGCGGGGAGTCAAACTCCTAACCTTTGGCTTCGCAACCAGATGCCTAATTCACTGAGCTATCCTGCAGTTCATGGCGTTAAGAAACTCACAGTTTATTTCTCTTCCTAAAACAACCCAATTTTTCTTCCTAAAACAGAATGAAGCAGAAACAGTAAACATGTTTCCATTAGTATCAGTCTGTATAAGATTTTATGTTTCTCACAGTTTTCAGTGGAGAAAGGTACAGTGGACCCTCGACTTACAGACGGCTCGACTTACAGACGGCTCGACTTACAGCCTTCTCTGGCCACAAAATTTAGATTCGACTTGCAGCCAGAGAATCGACTTACAGACCAGAAAAAAACCAAAATGGACCAAAAATAGAATAAAAACTGCCAGTTATGGGATTAATCGTTTTTCAATGCATTGTAGGTCAATGGAGATTCGACCTACAGACTTTCCGACTTGCAGCCACCATTCCAATACGGATTAATTCCGTAAGCAGAGGGTCCACTGTACTGTACACCGCTTTATCTGGCTACGTATTTTGCCTCTGAAGCTGAAGAGTCAAGGCAATCATTATCAAATTATCCACTAGAGGGCAAAGCTACACACAAGTGTATTTGCAAAGTGTTTTATGGGTAAAGTGCATTGGAAAAATCACAGGATGGCTTCAGTCCCTTGAAAAGATGAAGTGCAAGCTACATCTCTACTCTGTGAAATACAACATATGCCTTGGGGTGTACTGCAGGAACACACTTCTCTTCAGGATGAATAATCGCTATTTGAGAAAGTGGCCATTCCTAATGCTCCGGAATTTGTGCATCATTTTGGTAATCCGCTTAGTCCTTGTGGGATTAGCAGCAGACTGACTGGAGCCTAAGGCTAAAATGCAACTCTTGTAGCTCAGAAATACCATTATTTGCTTGAAGTATGTACTACTTGTATTAGAAGGAAACTATGCAGATTTGATTTCCATGTGAACAAAAGAGTCATAATGGCTTCAAGGAATTCACAGCTGTGTCAGATATCCATATTATAAAGCTGAAATATTAATTTATGCCACATTGTCCATTTAAAGTGGCATGCATTGTCTCTTGTAGGTTCAGATAGGACAGTAACGTGGATAAATTGTGATTTGTGAACTGTGTCCAAACACACACACACACACACACCACCACTGTTCTAAAATACATTAAGATTTACTTCCTTCTAAACATGCTTAGTCTTGGTAGATAGTGTGAGATCTAAGGGACTCTCAGACCAGGCCTGGGGAACCTGTGACCTTCTAGATATTGATGAGGTATTTTTTATTTTATCTTATTATTTATACTCTGCCCTTCTTCCTAAGAGGAACCATTACCACATTCCCATCAAAGGAAAGGAAATCCAACAACATGGGGGGGGGCAGCTACCCCAGCCCTATATTATGGCCCCACCATACTGAGATGCTCGATGCAAAGTGCTTAACCAGGTTTGTTTTGGAAGGAGATCAGTGGGTGCTTATTGACATACAGTCCGACCCCTGTATCCAAGGGGGGGTTGGTTCCAAGCTCCACACATGGATGCTCAAAAATGCAGATGACAATAGTGATTATAAAAGACTGTTTTAATAGCAAACGCTTTACATAGTGTGGTCTCTGGCTCCCTTTAGTGTCCAATTCTGCCAACTTCACCTTCAGAAATATATATTTCTATGATTATTGTTTAAATGTTTTTAATATTTTTCGGACCGCAGATAAGTGAATCAGCAGATACTGATCCCCCTACAGTATTGTAATATTTGTCATTATTTACAAACACACAGTAACCTGTAAGTTTAGCTCAAACATGCCAGCACACAACCACTTCCATTGATCTTGCATCAGAAAAAGGCCAGGCTGCAAGATGTCCACAATCCATGTCTCCAAAACTCAAACATTAGGTGTTTCCGGATGAGGTTTATATTCCGCAGTTGCCCTGCCTCAAGCAGAGATAGCCTCTTGTTCTTTGCAACTATAGTATGATCTTGCCCCACCCCCACCCCTTAGCTAAGGACTACTTTTCAAGGTCGTGAATGTGAGAAGGGACCAACTTAAAATCCAGATCTGCCCCGTCCAGGAGTCTTCTTCCAAAGCAGCAAGCCAGTTTCCCTCTCTCTTGGCAACACTATGGTACAGTATATGTACTTGTCCGCCTGGAGCAGCTCAGTGAAGAGGAGGGCGGTATGTTTCTCTCAGAGCCAGTGTGGAGTAGCGGGAAAAGCGTTACTAGACGAGAACTCAGGAGACCCGGGTTCAGTCCCCATTTGGCCCTGGAAACTCACTGGGGGGGCAGCAGCAGTAAACCACTCCTTGAGCACCTCACATGCCTCGAAAACCCCATTCCAAGCCAGAAGCGAGGTGATGGGACATGATAAAAAGAGAGGGGGGGGGGCGCTGGCTGCTGTGCCGATTCCCGGCGGGAGAGCCATTGCTCCCGGGCTAGTCTGTCTCCTCCCGGGTTCTCCCAACACTCAGCGGCCATGCTCCGGTTCAATCCAGGAGTGTCGAGGCTCGGGCGCGACAGGAGCCTTCGCCGTCCCGTCCTCCCTCCGCAGGGCATGTCCTTCTTCCTCGGGACACCTCGCGTTAAAACGTCTCCCTGGGCCAGAAGGAGGAGCCGGAGGGTTTTCTCTCCCAGTCGGTGGAGCGAGGAAGGCCTCTGCCCTTTTCCAGCAGATGGGAATTTCAACTCGTTCCCTTACGAGAGCGGGTTATTTTTCCTCGGGAGGGTTTTCTCTTTTGCAGGCTGCGATTGGCCCCGCGCGGTGTCGTGGCTGGCGCGGCGATTCCGCCAGGGCTCCCCGCTTCCGGGTGCTTCTCGGTCGTCGGAATGGAGAACGCGGAGTCGCACGCGGGGGAGAGTTCCCCTCGGTTTGAAAGGTGTGTGTGTGTGTGTCTTTACCCCACGTTACCTTGGATAGTGTGGCCGGTGGCTTCACGGGAACCGATCCTTTCCAGTCCCGCCGTCGTGGCCGTCTCGTTATGGGGAACGTTACGGATCGTTTCGATGCCGTGTTTGGCTGAAGCCTTGCTGGTTGGATTGCATGCGCTTATTGCTGGTGTGTTCTGTGCCCTGAGGTCGCTCCCGACTCCCCAAATGTGATTTTCAAGATGTAGTTTGCCATTGCCGCCCACCCTTACGTCCCTGTGTCTGAGCAGCGATTTGAACCCACGTCTTCCAAGTCCTAGTCTGTGCATGACCCCCAGACTGTCGCTCTTCTTTCATTAAGACTACATTCGACGTGGCTGCTGGTGCCACCCTGCCTCTGAGGCAGGATAGGGGCCATGGAGTTGGGAGGGCTTGACCCACATTAAATGGCTCTGAGATGGCAGTCGAACTTCCTCCTGTAGGAGAAATATTTTTAGAAAGCAAAATATGTTTCATTCTTTTATATTATTTAAATAAAATCAAAATAACAAAAAAGCCCTTACAATGTACAGGATATGTTCTCTTCTTCCCAAGTTCTGATGAACGTCACTAGGAGCTTTATGTATATAGGGGAGCAAAGTTATGTAAAACAATGAGTCATTTTGAAGTTATATAAATGACTGATCTGCCCATTTTGAAAACACAAAAAGTGGAAGCAGGGATCTTACTGCAGTTCTTCCTGAAAGCAGTCTGAAATGCAGCAATTAAATGGAAACTTTATCGTCTGAAATGCTGGCCTTATCGCGAAATACATTTCCTTCCTTTTTAATACAGTCACATCTAAATAATTTCTGCGAGACAGCTATAGGATGAGATGACTATAAAGAGGGGCATTGTTTCTGTTTGGAAAGGCAGTGAATAAATTTATTTACTCCCAACAACCCTATGATGATGGGAGACAGATCTGATGCTCCCTTCAACTAACATTTCATCCTGATGGGGGAATGGGTTAAACTACAGTGTTAAACTATTTTAATTCTTCTCCTCTTCAGGACAGTGGTATATTTGGCGAAACTACAGTTCCCAAAGGTCTTGGAGAACAGTGTGATAATTCCATTGGAATAAACAGGCCTATACCGTTGAGTCCTGGAAACGCTCTGAAATGTGATCACAAAACCTCATTGACACACACATGCCCAGCAGGCCAATACCACATGGAGCTGCTAAGACCCAACACTCAGCCTGAAGAAAGGCTTGATTTGATTTAGGACTCCCTTGTTTGCCTTTCTGGCAATCTAGGATATCCACAAAGTTCTCCTCCAACATCTAGATCAAATGAACCCTGAGGCAAAAAATGCTGAGAGTGAGGCTGTCATGCTTTGGGTACATCATGAGAAGAGAAAGACTCACTGGAAAAGGCAATAATTTCAGGAGAATTAGAAAGTATCAGGAAAACAGAAAAACAGGCATGGGATGGATTGACTCAATAAATTATCACAGGCTTGAGTTTACAAGAGCTGAACAAGGCAGCTGAGGACAGGACATTATGGAGATTACTCATTCATAGGGTCACTATGAGTCATAGGTGACTTGATGGCACATAACAACTGAGCAGAAAAGGAACCTAGGTTTTTCAGATGTCTTGAACGATAGGCTCCCATAACTCACTATCGCCCATAGCCATCTGGGGCTTCTGAGACATGGAAATTCAAAACCTCTGGAGGACAAAGGTTTTCTCAGTTCTAATGAATGGCAAACTTTCCCAATAGTTGAAGCTGTTTAGTGCTGAACTGACAGTTTTCTCTAGCATTTGCTTCATATGAATAAAGACAGGCACTTCCCAAGCACTCCTTTCCATCTGAGGATACAATCTCATGCCAAGAGAGTCATTTCCTGTTGAATTTGCCCAGATGGCAAATGGAATCTGACCTCTCCCCTGAAGAACCAGACATAGTAAAGGTCTCCTAAGGTAATGCCAAGATTTTGCAGAAGATCCGGCTGCATTTTAGATGCAGTGGAGAAAGAGATTTGTTTCCTACTTCCCGTGTTACTTCCTGAGTTGCATCCAAAGCTGTCCTGGGAGGAGACATGAGTGCACTGGAAGACAAAGATGGTAGGGTGGATATCGTCGTCGTTGTTTAGTCGTGTCCGACTCTTCGTCACCCCATGGACCAGAGCACGCCAGGCCCTCCTATCTTCCACTGCTTCCCGTAGTTGTTTCAATTTCATCTTGGTTGCTTTGCAGACACTGTCCAGCCATCTCATCCTCTGTTGTCCCCTTCTCCTCTTGCTGTCACACTTTCCTAACATCAAGGTCTTTTCCAAGGAGTCTTCTCTTCTCATGAGATGGCCAAAGTACTGGAGCCTCAGCTTTAGGATCTGTCCTTCCAGTGAGTACTCAGAGTTGATTTCCTTTAGAATTGATAGGTTTGTTCTCCTTGCAGTCCAGGGGACTCTCAAGAGCCTCCTCCAGCACCACAATTCAAAGGCATCAATTCTTTGGTAGTCTGCTTTCTTTATGGTCCAACTCTCACTTCCGTACGTCACTACAGGAAAAACCATAGCTTTGACTATTCGGACTTTTGTTGGCAAGGTGATGTCTCTGCTTTTTAAGATGCTGTCGAGGATTGTCATCACTTTCCTCCCAAGAAGCAGGCATCTTTTAATTTCGTGGCTGCTGTCTCCAGCTGCAGTGATCATGGAGCCCAAGAAAGTAAAATCTGTCACTGCCTCCATATCTTCCCCTTCAATTTCCCAGGAGGTGATGGGACCAGTGGCCATGATCTTAGTTTTTTTTATGTTGAGTTTCAGGCCGTTTTTTGCACTCTCCTCTTTCACCCTCATTACAAGGTTCTTTAATTCCTCCTCACTTTCTGCCATCAGAATGGTATCTTCTGCATATTAGAGGTTGTTGATATTTCTTCCGGCAGTCTTAATTGGGTGGATATAGGAATTAGTAAAAGGAAAAAGGATCAAACAGCTGGCGAGAGAGCAATATGGGCTGATACTCCAAGCTTGAACCTGTGTTCAGTAAGAACTCTGGGAATTCGCTTGTGCAATATACAGTTGCACATGGAGGCAGAGATGCCGATCTCTCCCCCGCCATAGGATGATAAGCCGGTCTCCCCGTCTCCATGTGTTAATGGGGTATCTCTGTAGAACAGAGTCTGTTGTGTATCTTGGGGCATCCCGGTGGGCTTAGGCCCTGCAGCCAACTTTCTCAGTCTCAGGAGGAACTTAAACTCTTGCAACAAGCTGCCTATCACAAGGCAGTTCACAGCTGTGCTGTCCCCCTTCATAGGATTGTACACAAATCAAAATGCAAGCATCCGAGGGGAAAAGGCAAAGGGGAGACCAAGGATTTAGGATATGTAAAGGCAGATAAGACAGAGCCTGTTTGGAGTTAGATCTGAAGCCAGATGGGAAAGGACTGAACAGGAACAAGGCGAAGAAGGAGGGCGGAGTAAGTAACAAGGCTGAAAGGAAGTACTGTAGATATTTCAAGTTATGCTATAGAAGAGTGGCTCAAGTTTGCAAGGTGTTTTAAACCCAATTCAAATGGCTCAAGTTGGATTTGCAAGGTGTTTTAAACCCAATTCAAATAGCTACTTCAGAACATAATGATTTTTAGTGTTTGGGGGGCTATTTTATTTGTTTAGATGGATTTCATACATAACTGTAGTTAATACTGTTGATCCATCTCTGATCCGACAGCTTTTGACTATTAATTTTGATTTCAGGATCTCTGTGGCTATTCTGATGGCTTCATTTACATTGCTGGATGGCTGCGGAATGACTACAGCTTTGGACTCGAAACCTAATATTCTTCTGATGCTGGCAGATGATCTTGGGATTGGAGATATAGGCTGCTACGGTAACACCACGATCAAGTAAAGCATCTTCAGATTATACTGTTTTAGAATTAGTGGTATGTTTCTGCATGGCTGGATAGCTCAGTGAGTTAGGTACCTGGAGTTCAATTTCCCACTGTGTGTCTCAAGAGAAGAGGCAGCCTGTGTAGACTTGAGCAAGCTGCACAATCCTAAGGTACTCCTAGAAGAAGGGAATAATACTTCAGAGACCTAGAAAACTCTGGAAAAAGTCACCACATGACAGTATTGACTTGACTGTGCATAATTATTATTGCTCTGTTTTTGGAGTATAAAATAAGAAAAAATAGTTTGTTAAATGCTGTTTGCAGCTGTTACTTTAAACTGGGTACTAATGAAATATGTTGTACAGTGGTGCCTCACAAGACAAAATTAATCTGTTCCACAGTTAATGCCATCTAGCGAAAATTTCGTCTTGCGAGGCATGGTTTCCCATAGGAATGCATTGAAATTTAATTAATGCGTTCCTATGGGGAAAAAATTAAAAAAAATAAAAAAATAAAGTGACTTATCAGGTACTATAGACTGAGCCTGGCTCCTCACAGTGCCTTGGTAGCCCCAGAAAAGCAGGAAAAAGAGTGCCAGACAGCTCAGAGCTGGCACCCAGCAGGGTGTAGGCAGCCATTTTCTGCTCTTTTCCGCTCCAGCTCCTCTCCCTCCCCGCCTCACAGCTGATCAGCACTGGGTCTTAGAAGTTTCCCCAGGCTTTCCCAGCAGGTAAACAGGCAGTGGAAATGCACTGTGGAAGCCTCTGAAAGCAGCGCTTTGCCGGGGTGGGGGAGGTGGCAGGGGCAGGCCTGCCACCCCCCTGCATCCCCCCACGGCAAAGTGCCACTTTCAGAAGCCTCCCGGGTGCTTTTCCACGGCTGAAGAAGCCCCGGGAGCCTTCTGAAAGCACCACTATGCCGTGGGGGGGGCTGCCCCTGCCACCTACCCACCCCTGGCAAAGCGCCGCTTTCAGAGGATTCCCTGGGTGCATTTCCACTGCCTGTTTACCTGCTGGGAAAGCCCAGAGAAGCTTCTGACACCCTGCACTGGTCAGCTGTGAGGTGGGGATGGGGGTAGGAATAGAGAAGAGCACACACACCCTGTCCCCCCCCCCAGCAAAGCACCACTTTCAGAAGCTTCCCGGGGCTTCGTCTTGCGAAACAGGGCCATAGGAAAAATTGTCTTGTGAGGCACCAAAACCTTCGCCAGACCCATTTGTCTAGAGAGTTTTTCATCCGGCGAGGCAATCATCTTGGACCCATTTGTCTAGAGAGTTTTTCGTCCGGTGAGGCAATCATCTTGTAGGGCACCATTGTACTCCTTTTAATTTTTGTCTTGTTTCGTTTAATTTAAAACAGTTGATGTGGACCTTAAATTCCTTAACTGAACAAGAAACACTTCAATTTGAAGTATTATGTCAGTGCACATTGGTCACTTCTGTTGCAGGACTCAGTAAGTAGGCATGAGAGAATCACAATTAGTGATTCTTTGGCACTTAACTAGTCCCTCATCATCAAGTCCTGTAGCAGAAAATAAGAAATGGTTGCCAATGATTGCAAAAGGAAACTGATAGAATAACCTTGTGTTATTCAGTCAACACAACTAAGTGCAGAACAGTATTAAAATAAAACCAGTAAACAACAGCACCAAACAAATATTGAATAATGAATATGAATAACTAAATAATTAAAAACAAGCCAGGCCCTTTGTGAACAGCCCTCAGAAATTAAGCTCTTATCACCACCTGTATACATTGTGCCACACACATGCCAAACATAGCTAGAATCCATTCCGGCCTTCTCTCTTAAATGATAGTGCCATATTAACAATTTTAGCCATTTTAGATGCACATTGGGAAAAGAGGATTCCGAAAACCATTATTAGAACACCTTGTTTTTAACTCTTTCTGCCAGCTGAGTTCCACCAGTAAAAAGCCGGAAGCAGTTACTTTTTCAGACTACATCTCATAGGACCCCATAAATGCTGGCTGGTGGGATTCTCAATCACAGTGCAGAAAAGTGGCTGTTTCAAGATCTGTGGAAGAGCGGCAGCAGCAGCGAGACCTTTGCAAAGCCGCCAGGAAGACGGTGGACGTTTTTGTCTCTCCATAAGGAAAGGGGCTCCATTATATCTTGTGGCCCCTTCCAGACACCACTGGATTGTTCCTTGACAGACCCAGTTTTCCAATGACCAGCCATGGGGTGGGGGCAGGGAACAGTTTCCCAACTTGACATGGCTTCATTTCAGCTGAAGCAAATCTATGTACATAGTTGAAATTACACATCTCAGTGCGTGTGGTCAGTGAGGGCATAGTCTTCAAAACCTCTTCGTTATCAAATGTGTATTTTCTCCTAGAAGCACTAAAACTTGAGATGTCATTTGAAAGCACTTACATGCAGCAAATGGCCATAAGATTTTGTTACTTTATAATTATTCAGCTATTCACTGTTCCAGCATGATTCTCTTGTAGATAATATGTCACCTATTCACAATGTTTAACCTTCCCCCCACTTAGGACACCTAACATTGACCGGCTAGCCAAGGAAGGCGTCAGGCTGACTCAGCACATTGCTGCAGCCTCACTTTGTACCCCAAGCAGGGCTGCTTTTCTGACGGGCAGATACCCCATCCGATCAGGTAGGGTTTATTTGGAATGTATCTTTGTATGCACATCTGAGCTGGTAGGAGGGGTCAATCGGTATCTCCGTAGCTACACTCAGCATACTTTGAGAGGAGAGCCTTGCCCCTCCTCACTCACTTCATGTATCCATAAAGACATACATTGAGTGGTTGAGTGAGTTCATGCCCTCACTTTCCCTCACAGCGAGGTTAGCCTCTCAATTATTCATTGTTCATACCTTAAATTCTCACCTCTGTCCATCTCTTGATCCTCACTGTTCTCTCGGGCTTCCTCGCTGTCTTTCTTGCCTGGAGCCAAATGTTTGAAATGTGTTGAGGCAGAGATGAACTACGTATAATTATGTAGACCTCCCCACTTGCGGAATCTTTTCAGCTGTCTTTGCTGAAGCTTCATTTCTCAGCATCCTTGCTACCTCTGTGCCTATCCCTTTTTTAATGGCTGGTGTCATCGGATTTAGTTATGCTTAGATGAGGCCCACTGAACACAGGATGAATATAAATCCTGTTGGTATTAATAGATTTGTTCTCAATTGATCCTGTCTGTTTTGGTAGCCAGTTCTGAGATCTATGGTCCTTTCTTTGAGCAATGAGAAGAGAATGAGATGAGGAAGATATTCAGATGTCTCCACATTTTCTCAATAATCAGTCAGCACCATAAAACATACTCCTTTATCTCCATATGAATGTTATTGAGATATATGGTGAATAAGCAGGATGTACAAAAAGTCCACTGCAAGCACAAAATTAATCATATGCTAAAATTTCCTCTCTCTCTTTTTTTTAACTTTTACATGTAGGATAGATCTGTGCTTTCATCCTCATTCTGCATATAGACTTTTCCAGTCCTGAAAAGGGGAATCCTTGATTATATGGCAGGTCTATGGGTGCATCAAACAGCACATGTGAGCAAATGAAACCCCTGGCTGAGCTGTATGCACTCTGGGCACAATGTGGGAGTAAGGGAGCAGTGACCATGATATCTGTACACTGAACTGAATAATGAATTTATTGAGATTTTTTTTTAACCTCTGCAATGCAGGCATGGCTTCCAGCAACGCCTATCGGGCTCTGCAGTGGAACGCTGGCTCCGGAGGACTCCCTGTCAATGAAACCACTTTTGCCAAGGTGTTGTCTCAGCAGGGTTATGCCACAGGACTTGTAGGTATGTAGGGATCTCATGACGACCTCCAGTTTGTAGGTCTGTTGTGCAAAAACAAACACTTATTTTTGTTAAAGCATTCATTGCACTTATACCCACCTTTCCACTATAGAGCATTCAAGGCCCTTGCATACTTCTTAAAACAATAAAAACAGATAAAACCACATTTAGCTAAAAAAACAAACACATAACCAACCCCACTGTGGAACCATTAAAACAAATAAAATGCACAAAGGGTATGGTTCAAACAATACCACAGGGAGGGTTAGACATCATGTGCCAGTCTAAAAATATATGGTTTTACTCCCTTCTTAAAATCAGTCAGAGTAGAAACAGATTGCAATTTGGAAGGGAGTGCATCCCATAGCCTGAGAGTCATACAGAAGGCGCTCTCCCGTGTACTTGTTAGTTGGGCTTCTGAAACTGTTGGTGTTTTTAATAGGGCTTCTCTGAAAAATCTTAAAATCCAAAGAAGTTCATAATAAGACAGGTAAGCTCCAAGCTATTTAAGGTTTAACTGAAATTAAAATCACAAAAGTGCAAATATATTTTATCACAAAGTACAGTGGTGCCTCGCACAACGGGTGCCTCACACAATGATGAATTCACACAACGATGCCTTTTTCTGTTAAATTTGCTGCCTCACACAGCGATGTTTCCTATGGGGGATTTTCACACAACAATGTCTCTTTTTCGTTCCTGTAAAAGTGTCTTACAATGTTTGGAAGCCGTTTTAAATGGTTGCAATGGTTAGCTCACCTCCTGAAACCTATGCAAACTGATTTTGGTGTTGTTCTGACACTTCGTTAATTTATGGTAATTTTTTGTTTTCCCCCCTCATTGAAATGCATGGAGTTCAATGAGGGGGGAAAACAAAAAATTACCATAAATTAACGAAGTGTCAGAACAACACCAAAATCAGTTTGCATAGGTTTCAGGAGGCGGGCTAACCATTGCAACCATTTAAAACGGCTTCCAAACATTGTAAGACACTTTTACAGGAGCGAAAATGGACTTCACAAAGCCATTGAAATGTATTGAGTCGGCTTCAATACATTCCAATGGAGGAAACATTGTTTCACACAGCGATGTTTCCTATGAGGATTTTCACTCAGCGACGGCAGTCCGTTCCAATTGGAACGGATTAACCGGTTTTCAATGCATTCCTATGGGAAATGGTGTTTCACAGAACGATGTTTCACACAACGTTGATTTTTTTGGAACCAATTAACATCGTTCTGTGAGGCACCACTGTATTTCCATTTCTGGAAAATGGAATGAGACTTGACATGCTCTTCATTCATTCATTCATTCATTCACTCATTCATCCATCCATCCATCCATCCATCCATCCATCCATCCATCCATCCATTCATTCATTCATTCATTTGTGGAATTTGCCTCTTTAGCTTGGATTCCCTTACATGTAATACTAGGTATGCTTGGGAATGGTGATCTACAAGTGTTTAGTTCCTGGCTTGGGTGCAGAAAAAGTTGGGTATTAAAATAAAGGCTGGGTAAGCTCTTGTTGTTGGAGTCAAAATATTTCCTATAGACTTGTACTCACTGTCCTTTTAATCAATGAAGCAGCAATTCTGATATAACAGTGTTGTATACATGTATTTACAGTTGTGATGATGCATGAAAACGAACATGATCCATGGACTGCTGCAGTTTTAGTGGTTATTCAGTGCTCACATTTGCCAGCTGAACCTAAGGGATATGTTAACAAGTGTGTTGTTATATGATAATGACCTTAATACCTATTTAGAAGCAGAAGTAAGAGGAGAAATGAGAGGAGAGACATTCGTTTTTAAAAAATTGCTGGCTACTGATGTTAAAACCTGTGTGTCTGTCCTGAAATGCCAAGATCTGATTGCAAATATCAGACAGTCACTATACTGGAGTGCATCTTATGATTACAGTATTTTGTCCACCTTTATTAACAGTGTGAGCCTCCAAACCCTTTTCAATTAATTTGTATAGAGCATGAGATCAACACTGTGTTTGGCGCAGAAAAGTAGAAGGAATGAGAGTGCCCCATGTCTGCATTTTTCATGAGACATCTCTGCAGAGGAAAAAAAAAGATGCACTCAGAGGAATGAGCTGTGCAAACATAAAAGAAATGAAGAAAAAAATCAGTTTCTAGAACAAAATGTGCAAGATTTAGAGCATCAGATCTCCAGTGGAGGATCGTAGGCCAAGGACCCCCAATAATATTGCTGTGATGCTGTTCAGCCAAACTCTAACAGTTCACAGAACTTTTCCATCTGGGCAGTGTTCCATTTGAGAAGTGATTAATGTATTAGAAGAGAAGAAGAAATATTTTTAAAAATGTATATCTTCCTGAATGCCAGTGCTTTCCATTCAGCAAGTGGTAGCTCAACAGCTTTCTCTTGGGTGTTTATTTTCACTGCCATTTTTGAGACACTTTAGCTTTAGGCAGATAAAGGCTGGTTGGTTAATTGACTGATGGATAGATTTTTTTACAGGCATCATGTATTTTTCTTGAGAATCTCCCATCTCTCTCTCAACACACACACACACACACACACAAACATGTCTTATTTAAGTGTGTGGCGCTTCCACTCAGGCAAATCATTAAACTGCAGGACTCCACATTGTCTCTGATGATTTCTGACATATCTGCAGACACCTGTGTGTTTTGCTTCAGCCGCCTTTTCTCTAAAGAACATAATATGAAAAATAACACTTGTCATTACCTTGTCATGAGCTTGATCAGATAACACAGCAGGAAAATGCCTCTTTACAGGATAAGTGCTGAGATCATTTCCTATGCCATCCTAACTGAAATGAAGAGACCCTACGAAGGAATACAGTTAGAAACACAGAGATCTGCTTTTTCCTGAGCCATCCACTTTGTTCATCTAACCACCTGAGAAGCCTGACACCGAGGGAGGCCCGGACGGAAAAAACAAGAAACCGGGCCTTCTTGGCGGTGGCTCCTCGCCTCTGGAACCATCTGCCTCTGGAGATTCACGCGGCTCCCTCGCTGGGTATTTTTAAAAACCAACTAAAAACGTGGATGTTTAGGCAGGCCTTCCCCTCCCCCCAGTTAATTCCTGAATTTCTCCCTTGCTTTCTCTATTATGATTTAATTTGTTTGCTTTCCATCTTATAGAATTCTTTAATTGTGTAAAAATTCTTTTTTTATATTGTTCTTGTATTTTATATTTTGTGTTGTAAGCCGCCTAGAGTGGTCGCAATGACCAGATAGGCGGGGTGTAAATGGAATGAATGAATGAATGAATGAATGAATGAATGAATAAATAAATAAATAAATAAATAACCCAGTATTTTAAGCTCTGACTGGTAGCAGCTGTTCAGGATTCTTTTCCAGCTGTATTTGGAGATGCTGGGGATCAAGACTGAGACCTTCTGATTGGACAGCACGTGCCCTACCAATGAAGGATGACACTCCCCAGTAAACACTTGGTATTCTCTGGTGGTCCCCCATGCAGACTCTCAGCAGTCATCAGCTTGCTTAACTTATGAAATCAGATAAGATTGGCTGTATTCATGATGGTATTTGTGCCGTCCCATTCATTTCAATGGGACCAGAAGCAAGACATTTCCAAACGATTGTGCCCCCAGTTTCTGCAAGATGTATACGGTGGTGGGGAAAGTTTCATGTTTGGTAATAGTACTCAATTTTCTGCTTTGATTTCCAGGGAAGTGGCATCAAGGCGTGAACTGTGACTCTGTCAAAGACTTTTGCCACCATCCTTTAAACCATGGCTTTGATTATTTTTATGGCATGCCTTTCACTCTTCTCAACAACTGTCAGGACAACAAGCTTCCGGAGCTGGATGCCGCTTTCCAGGCTGAGCTCTGGTTTTATACTCAGCTCATTGCCGTTGCAGTCCTCACACTTCTCATAGGAAAAATGATTGGATTGGCATCCATTTCTTGGAAAGCAACCCTGTGGTTTTCTGTGCTTGGATTCTTGTTTTTTGCTTCATGGTACTCAAGCTATGGCTTTGTGAAATACTGGAATTGTGTTTTGATGCGCAACTACAATATTACTGAACAACCGATGAAGCTTGAAAGAACAGCCGCTCTCATCTTAAAGGAAGCAGTCTCGTTTATTCAGAGGTAATTCATCCTTTGTTGGCTGGTTGGAAATATCAGTGAGCTGGGTACCTGGCTGCAAAGCCAGAAGTCAGGAGTTTGATTCCCCTCTGTCCTTCTGGCAGATTACCAGCCTGTGTAGTCCTGGGCATGCTGCATAGTCCCAGAGTGCCCCTCAAAGATCCCTCTGTCCCTCTGGCAGATTACCAGTCTGTGTAGTCCTGGGCAAGCTACATAGTCCCAGAGTGCCCCTCAAAGAAAGCAATAGTCATCCACTTGTGAATACTGTATACCTAAAAAAATACCCTGGAAAGGTAAAGGTTCCCCTTGACATTTAGTCCAGTCGTGTCCAACTCCAGGGTGCGGTGTTCATCACTGTGTCCAAGCCATAGAGCCAGCATTCGTCCGTAGACAGTTTCTATGGTCACGTGGCCAGCATGACTAGACACAGTACGCCGTTACCTTCCCATCCTGGTGGTACCTATTTATCTATTCGCATTTGCTTGCTTTCAAAACTGCTAGGTTGGCAGGAGCTGGGACAAGCGACAGGATCTCATTCTGTCATGTGGATTCGATCTTACGACTGCTGGTCTTCTGACCTTACAGCACAGAGGCTTCTGCGGTTTAACCCGCAGAACCACCATGTCCCATTAGAAAACCCTGGAAAAGGCTGCTATAAATCAGACTTAAGAGCATGTGATGATGAAGGCGGTTAAATAATCTGTTCCCTAAGTTATCAGACTGCAGAAACACTGCCAGTTACTAAATGTGTTCATCCTATTTGTTTCTTTTAAGCAATAAGCATAGACCGTTCCTCCTCTTTGTTTCTTTCCTGCACGTCCACACACCCCTGTTTACAACAGAAAGATTTCTTGGGAAGAGCAGACATGGTTTATATGGAGATAATGTAGAAGAAATGGACTGGTTGGTGGGTAAGTTGGCTAGAAATAAAGAAATTGTTCCCTCGCCTCTGGTAATCACCAGCAATCTGGTGGTGATTTTGACTGTTCACAGCTCACTTGCCTCTGTGCTTCTTCATTCCCAAAGAAAGTTGAAATTCTGAGGGGATTAGAAGCGTTAAATTAATTTAACTTAATTATTTCCAACACCCCAAATTCGGTTTACGCTGGTGGAACTGCCCCCACATGATTTTGCCCTTTGAGTTGGCACTGGCCAAATCCAATCTACAGGTCATCATTAAAGAAAAGAAACTAAGATTTCTGGTGAATATTTCAAGGTAGCAGTATAGCATAGTCTATTGTTTTGGACTTGTACCATGTAAAGATGCATTTTCTTCCCTATGGAGTCATGAATTTCAAAAGCTGCTTCTAAGATCCAGTTAAATCCATGCATGTGTGGCTTCAGGAAGAATGGGATACTAATATTATGATAAAAAATTTAATATCTTTATTAATGTGCTCTGGACCTTTTGATGTGTTGGATTTGTAATAAATCTTTTGACTTTGTTTTTCAACCTCTAGGACAAATTCTAGATACTATTGATCAAGAAGGCTTGAGGAACAACACATTTACTTATTTTGCTTCAGATCATGGAGGACAGCTGGAAGCTCAAGAGGGAAAGATCCAACTTGGCGGCTGGAATGGCATATATAAAGGTGTGCACGCAGGACTGCTAGTTTGCCTACATAGAATTTTGGAACTTATTCTTTGGATTGTATTCAGGAACAAGTACATCTGTGCACCCAATAAAATGGGAAATGCACATGCTGGTTCCCACTCTCACACAAACCCATCATCAGTGCATATATGTTTTAGGAAAATGTGGAAGTTATCCAAGTGCTGGATAGAGCCTCTTGATGCAGTTCACTTCCAAAAGTTAACACCATTTGCATTATGCTGGCATAAAATCACAACAGAATTTAGACCAGCCTCCAAAACAAGGGTGAGCAGTTTCAGAGGTTGGACTACAGCTCCCATACTCCATCAGCTCAGAGCTGCTGAGAATAGCTCAGCAACATCTGAAGAACCATTGGTGGCCCATCCTGATATAAACAACATAGATTCCTATGAATCCTATGTTGTTTTGGATATTCCTTTGTATTGTTTAAATCCCCAAATGCTACTAAAGACTGCTTCAGAATTTTAATATAAAAGTCACACTTCCTCTCACTGAAATGGATGTGTAGATAGGTGAATACACATGCATGTGTGCGCGTACGGACATGTGCATGTGTATCCATCTAACCACCCATCCATTTCAGAGAAAGGAAGTCTGACTTTTATAAAACAGCTGATTCTAAAGCAAGTCTTTAGTGGCATGAGCCTCTGAAGACCATACCTGTACTATCAAATGTTTCCAATTAAGAGCTGTGTGTCTGGGAAATTCATATGAAGAAATGTAGGACCAAGAGACTATGTTTTAAAGGAGTTGAGGGCTGACAGTTGTAAAGAGTGTATTTCATCCCCTCACTGCCTGGTTGGATACTTCTAAAGCTTCTGTTTTAGCCCCCTCACAACAAACAGACTCAAGTCTGTTACACACATGCACATACACACACATATTCTTCATAGCTGAGATCATTCTAGTGTTTGGTCTACATAGCCTGGGCTTGAGCAGAGGAGTGGGGAGAGATGTTTCTGACCATTTGGAATTCTGCACAGACCTTTAAGTCAGTTGAATCCACTTGTCTGTTTCCAAAAATGTCACAGTTATCTTGTTTTTCCAATATAGGGGGCAAAGGCATGGGAGGCTGGGAAGGAGGGATCCGTGTGCCTGGAATAGTCAGATGGCCTGGAGTGCTCCCTACCAACGCTGTTGTTGATGAACCAACTAGTCTCATGGATATTTTCCCCACACTAGCTCATATCTCTGGAGGAGCTGTCCCACAGGACAGGTACAGCACATGAATTCTTGCTTGTAGAACGTACTGGAATGCATCTTCAGCTATACTGAATTCATCGTGCCATACACATGTAGTGTTCTTTGACAGTGTTCGTGTAGTATGCATGCTGTGTTCTTGTATAGTCTGAGTTGCTCCTCTGTTCTGGTATGTTCTTTCCTCCGGAATTTCTTTTCTTGTTTTTGTGTGCTGTTTGTTTTACTATCCACCAGTACTCTTGTTCAAGATCCAAGCAACTTTCCTTAAGTAACACTTTGATTTTAGGGAAACTGTGCTTTGTTAGCTCATTTACTGCAATCTTTGGAAGGAAAATACCAACCTATCTCACACTTCTATTGTTTCACTGCCTTGGCAGGAGGTTAGATCTCTTTCCTTTGTTTCCCTCTCTGTGTATGACTATCACATTCCCACACAAAAAAGCCCAAGCTTTAAGTAGATGTGGCTTCCAGCTACTTTGAGTCATCTCCCATTGTTATTGTCTCCCTCTTGCAGCAGAACTGATAATTATGCTTGTTGTTTTCCTCTTCAGTCACAGGTTTGTTATTGTAGGTAATTTGCCAGGTCCTTGGAATTCAGCTGAGATGATCAAATCAGACCGAGCAAAGTCTGCAGGTTCTCTTATCTGTTCTCTTCCTCTTAAAAGGCTGTTAATTTAAAAGGCACTAACTTTAAAACAACTTTACACCATGAAAACTTTAAAAAAAAACCCAACTAGATAAAGAACCAACAAGAGAGAAAGTCTGCCCACTTCCATTGTGATTATTTATGGTGTACAGAAAATGGTTGCCCACGTCGCCTTCTTGGCGATCAAGATCAGCAGAGCAGGCCCTCCTCCTGGTCCCATTGCCAACACAGGCACAGCTGATGTGGGCCTTCTCTGTGGCAGCTCCCAGGCTATGGAACACTCTTCCTCAGGAGATCAGGATGGCCCCTTCCCTGTTATCTTTTCGAAAAAAGCTAAAGACCCATCTCTTCAGGCAGGCTTTTAACATTTTTAACAATTACAACTGAATCCCTGAACCCCATTTTAGCAGATGATTTTAATCTTTTTAATGTTTTAATGTATCATATATTATTTAATTTGTCTTTTAATATTTAACTTATTGTGTTTTTAATTGTGTGAATTTTAATGTTGCAAGCTGCTTTGGGTCCATTGTTGGGAGAAATGTGTCAAATAAATAAATAAAAGTAATAAAATTAATAAAAATTGGTCTAAGCATGCACAGGTTGCCATAAAGAAAGATGTCTTTGTTAGAGAATCAAAGCTCCTTTTGAAAGATTTCATATACTTACTGCTCAGTGTCTGTGATTTCATTGATTATGCTGCAATGCTGCTTCTTCTGTGCCTGTACCTATTTGTGAATTTTGAGCATGTTTCCTCCTCCTCCTTCACAGTTCCCCTGTCATAGTACAGAAGCAGGAGTGCACTCAGATGGCACTTCTAAAAGATTTCTGGAAACAGCAAGCATTTAAGATGTCTCTAGGCATGGTTTTTATTGTGCAGTCACTCTAGTTAATCTACTGGCAGGGAGAGAGGTGTCCAGACAATTTAATCATCTCTTTTAACCTTCTTTTGGAAAAGAAAGACAAAATAGCTGAGCAGTGCCTTTTGACTGGAGCGGTTAGGATTCGTTCATGTGAAGGCATGTAAGGAAAGCTGTCCGTTGCATCTGAGTGATTCTCTGCAATAACCTTTTTTCATGTATAATTAGGCACTGGTCAGACTACCTGTGATTCACAAAATAGCATCACTGAAGCATGAATTGTTAGTTTCTCTACTTATTGACTCCTGTTCTCCTCAGACTCCTGCTTGATGATTTCTGTTTTCTGTATCACTACAGAATAATTGATGGGAGGAACCTGTTGCCTTTGCTACAACAGAAAGTCAAGCACTCGGAACATGAATTCATGTTTCATTACTGTGGATCGTACTTGCACAGCGTACGATGGCATCAGAAAGACAGTGAGTATAGAAAGCACCGTTAAATTGCTTTCTTTCATAAAGGAACATAGACACAGGCATAGATGTAGACAGACATATAGGTTTGTTTGGGGCCAGGGGTCCCAAAAGAGTTGTAACGTACAATTTTGCTGCAAGAACATCTGACAGCCAACATTGATGAAGGTTAAAAATAGCTAAAATGATAAGTTTTCACAGTTCCTGAATTGCCATCTGATGTGAAAGCAGTTGCATCAATGCTCTCTATCTGTTTAAGGGGCTTCATTGTATACTTTAGTTCTCCTTCCAGCAGCAACCCAATGTGGGGGATCTCAAATAACCAAAATGAAGCCACCGAGAAACAGCAGAGAGGAAATAAAAACACTTTGTACCCCATGTACAAAGTGTTTTTGTACTCCCCAAAACCCAAGTCTAGATGAGAGAAGGGTCCTTCCCCAAAAACATTAAGTGTCAGCTTAGAAAGTGAAAAGAAAACCAGGGGAAGGTAGAATCTGGCTTTTCTGCAATACGCCGTGGCTTGCTAGCTAAAAGTGGAATAGCTGAGTTCAAAGCCATCAAAGTACATTCTCAGCCATCAACAGAGTTTTCTTTGGGAAAATGTTTGCAGGCTGAACAGCTCACTGACCTCTCAAGCTGGGAACATTTAGCACCAGGGTGAGGCATATTGTGGGTGAAATTTCATGTAGGGATGATGGGGAGCCTTCCCTGCACACAGAAAAAAAAATAATAAAACAGCCCAAATTATACTGAGCTGGAAAGAAACCAAGGCATCCAGGTGGGTGTTACAGTGATTCAAACTCTGACCAAGAGACTCTTAACCTGCTTGGATCTCACGTTATAACATACTTCTGCATGAACCACAAGTGGAGCCATCAAGCAGGAAGCAGAATTTTGAAGACATTGTTTCTACCTTTCACCTTTACTCTAAAATGTGCACATTCTGTTTTTGTAACAGTACAGTTGCTGCTGCTTCAGGAGTGGGGGTGGGGGAGGGCTGCTAATAATTTGCCACAGACAGCACTTACTAAGGCAATCACTACAATTTTTTGCTTGGTAAAATTAGGTGAAATGGCCAGAAGCAGTATGAGGGGGAAAGTAATGCACCAAGCGCAAAGGGCTTTAGGGAAAGGCCAGGAATTTTGTCTGGATGCTTAAAGGGCAGTAGATGTCTAGGCGATGTCATGATAGCCCATCATCTTCACAATTGTTGAACCATGGATTTTGTGTCATTTTTCTTGTCAGATGGTGCTTTATGGAAAGCTCACTACGTCACCCCAGTCTTCTCACCCAAGGATTCAGGGGCCTGTTATGGGAGAGGAATTTGTCCATGTTTCGGCAAAGGTGTAACACATCACAATCCTCCTTTGCTGTTTGATCTCTCGAGAGACCCTTCAGAGGCTGTGCCTCTGTCACCAGATACCGAGCCACTGTTCCACATGGTTCTGGAGAAAATCGAGAAAGCTGTGGAGGAGCATCGGAAGACTCTCACGCCCGTCCCACAGCAGCTCTCCTTCTTCAACATTATGTGGAAGCCATGGTTGCAGCCTTGCTGTGGGACCTTCCCATTCTGTCAGTGTGACAATGAAGATGCCAATGTCAGTTAGATTAATGTGGATTACTTTAAGAATCCTGTCAAAATGAAACATTGTTTTTGAGCCAAGGGAGTTAAAATGGTGCCTGTCCTGTCTCTCAAAAGAGTGCATGGCTTTAGGTTATGGTCCTGAAACATTGTGCATCTGTAACCTCTCCTGCCCTTCTCATCTCCCAATCCAGTTCTCTCTTCCTTCCAGCTGGACTTTGTGCAACACATAAAGGGGCAGAGGGAAGTTTAACAAGCCTGGGGAGGAATGGGAGCTGAAGAAGGGAGGATTTGTTTTCCAGGCCTTGGTAAAATCATCTAGGCAATGGCCAAAATCTCGTTGGACACTTCTGCGCATACAGCAGAAATGGTCACAGTTGCCATGGCTAAGTGTATTGACAAAATGCTGCACACATGCCAGATCCTTGCCAATTGTGCAATCACACACATGACCAACATGCAGCTGGAATATTAACAGTCAAATGCATTGTGATTTGTCTTGCACATAGGAAAAAACGTAAACAACACCAAAACACATTCAAAGCACTAAGGTAAAACAATCCATTTTAAAACCCCATTCAGGCAGCCAGTCACTGAGGGAAAGCTTGCCTGAAGAGAAAGATCTTTTCCTGCTTGTGGAAGGATAGCAAAAATGGGGCCAGGCTGGCCTCCTGTGGGAGGGAGTTCCAAAGTCTGGGAGCAGCAAAAGAGAAGGTCCTCTCCTGTGTCCCCATCAGATGCACTGTGAAGATGGTGGGACTGAGGAAAGGCCTCTCCTGATGATATTAGCACTCGAGCAGGATCATAAAGGGAGACGTGGTCCTTGTTATAGCTTGGGCCTGAGCAGTTTAGGACTTCATGGGTTAGAAACAGCACTTTTAATTGTGCCTGAAAACAGATCGGCAGTCAGTGGAGCTGCTGTATCAGGGGTTATGTGATCTCTGCGACCAGCCCCAGTTAGCAATCTGGCTGCTGCATATTGGACCCTCTGCAGTTTCTGGATACTTACCAAAGGGAGCTCAACATAGAGCATGTTACAGTAATCCAGCTAAGATGTTACTAAAGCATGTGGCATCGTGGCCAGATCAGACCTCTCCGGGAATGGGCGCAACTGGCGCATTAATTTCAATTTTGCAAATGCACAATTCATATCTTTAATAAAGGGGACATAAGGGCTTTGTAAACTTAGCTTTCCTCCTCAACATTTCTCACAAGAAGAGTGAGGAGAGAAACATCAAAAATGGAGAAAATGAAAGCCATGTCACTACTGTTGCTTCCGTTATATCTGGTAAAAGCTCACGCTATAGGACAATATTTCCTTGCCTAATGTAACATGCTGGGCTTGTTTGTTTTTAAAATCCCTTTTTTTCTTCTCACCATACTTCATCTCTTACAACTGTCATAATTGGTATGTCCAGCTTTTAAAATACAGTTTACACCACTGTAGATGAAAAGGGCATGGATGGACTGGAGTTTTGAGAATATATGTCAACATGAATATAATAAAGATAGACATGCATTACACATAAAATAATCATCAAGGGAGCAAAGTAACAAATTGGCAAAATGCAGAAAGACAGCAATGGACAAAAGAAAAAGGGTTATTTGCTGATCAAAGGAGATCTGCAAAAATGGAAAAGGGGGACAGTAAAATATATTGCTTCTTCAGCCTTCCAACAAAAGCATGGTATGATGAGTACTTCCTATACACTGCAAATAGATCTATATAGGGATTCAAATAACATTTATATAATGGACCCCTTGCTGAATCCAGCAAGGGTTTCAATTATATAAATGTTATTTGAATCCCTTTAACAGGATAACATGAGGGGAGAGTGAGATTTTGGAAGACCTCTGTCCACATCTGCAGTACAGATTAATTTATTCTTTATTTTTCTGACCTGTTTCTCTTTTAATAAGGGGAGCAGTCAGTATCTCAGCTTGTGACTTGGGTTTTTAATTTCTTATATTCAGATTGATGGTTGGCCATATTTTAAGGCTCAAACCATGAAGCATTTTTTCTTAGCACATTTGTCTTCCTTGTAAAAGTTTCATAGGCTCAATGGGGTTTTTTTCTGTATTTGGCAACGGAGCTTATCACAGGTGTTGTCGATGTCACATGAAAACATTTTAAAATGTCAGAAGCAAACTCTTTTTCTAATTGTGAGGGAAAGGGTGTAATCAATCTCTCCTGGGGGGAGACAGTCATGTCATTGCTCACATGCATCAGGCCATACAAGTGGGACAAGTGGCAGTCTGTAGCATGCAAAAGGTGCAATGTATTACACAAAATGCTTAAATTTTAGCTTGCTGGTTTTTCTTCATAGATTGTGTCTTCTTCAGAATACAGTAGCTGAAATCCTGCTGTTTAGCATAGTAAGTCAGAAGTAGAGTAGGAATGTTCACTCAGTGGAAGTAACTGAGGATTTGACTCACCAAATTCTCCCCTGATTGAATGGGTCTACTCCAATTGTAACATACTACACTAAGCAAAAGCACCCGAAGAGGTTTTGTTAAAAACATTGCTATTTTGGGTTTTGTTTTATTAATTTTAAAGACTTCAAACTTTGCTATTCATTCCATTACTCATTGCTTTGACCCTAATGGGTTAGAAATAGAGAAAACCACATCATCAGCACAACTTCTTAGCTTGAACTCCTCACCATCTATTTTCAGTCCTTCAATTTGACTGTCTTGTCTTATTTTAGTTCCAGAAACTCCATTGCTAAGATAAACAACAATGGTGATAATGGGCATCCTTGTCTAGTTCCTTTTTCGATAATAAATCCCTCTGTTAAAACTCAATTTATTAATATTTTTGCATTTTGTTTTTCGTAAATTCCTTGAATTCAATTTCTAAACTGTGCTCCACATTCCAAATGTTTACTTAGAAAGTTCCAAGAAATATTATAAAATGCTTTTTCTGCATCTAGGAACATAAATGCTGTTTGTCATTGTTGTTTTTCTGAGTACACTATTGTATCTATTACAAATCTTATCTTATGGACAAATCCCATCTGATCAGAGTGTATTATTTTGGTAATACATGTCTTGACTCTGTTCGCCATTATTAAGGCAAAGATTTTTTAATCCACATTAAGTAAGGAAATTGGTCTAGGTTGAGTATAAAATATTTCCTCTTTTTGAACATCACTTCCAGTGCAAAGGGAATTTTCTAGCGATATTTTTTTTTCTTTAAGTTCTTGTGCAAGAAAGTCAAAGGTTTTTCTTTTCCTGAATATGTCTGGTTGGAAAAAAAAATATTTGGTTTTTTCTCCTGTTCACTTTGAGTGGGTTGGTTCTTTGTCTGAATAATATAAGGTCTCTAGTTTTCTTATATATAAACTTAACTAAAATATCTCTTGGCATTTTATTTTTTGTTGCAAATTTAGAATTAATTCTGAAGATCAGTCATAGTCTAGGAGTCCTTCAATTCCAAAATGTTCTTGTAGTAATGTAGATAATTCCTCTTCTAATTTTGTTTTTCCAATATCTTCTGGGATGTTTCTGAATTTCAGGTTATGGTTTCTGTTCTGTACTTCCAATATTTTAATCTTTTGATTTACTGCTTGTTACTGCTGGTTTAGAACTCCTCAGGCCAATTCTAATTCTTGCTGTCCAGTTTTTAGTGCATCAGTTTCCTCTGCCCGCTGTTCAACTTGTTTACTTATTTCAATTAATTCCTGTTGTTAGTTATTGTTTAAAAGTTGAAATATATGTTTTAATTTCTTTCTCAGATTTTTTAATTTGGTCTGATATTTGCATTACTTTTGTGTTGATCAAATTTTGATTCCCCCCCCCCCAAAGTTCTAATGGACCTATTTCAAAATCATCTCCTTCCAAAGTGACTTTCTTAGTTCTAGATCTTTGTGCCATTCTTATATTGCTTTATTTCCTGCCTAGAGATCTCCCTGTTTATGTTAATGCAATGGTAAAATAATAAAACTATTCACACTTTCTTCTCAAGTACTAATCATTAATCTAAGATAAGCAATTTATCTTCCCTTAAAAATCATTTACCTAACGACACTCAAAGTTCTATAAACAAGCACCAACTTTCAGTTCATCAATATTTAGTACTTAAATTTTAAATAACACTGTCAATACCTTATCTTTTTCGGTTATGAATCAGTTACCTAACAACTTTATATTCCCTTACTGGAAATCATTTGTCTGGCAAAACTCAGTATTCAATAGAGCATTTCATTTCTCAATATTTAGTGTTACACAGGTATTGTTATTATGAGGTTATGCCAACGACACTTTAGTCACATTTTGACATGCATAACAGGAAAGAATATACAGAACTAATGCTTTTCTTCCCTTGCACTATCAATTTGTTAACAATTGGAATATGAAAATGTTAAGGGGAAAAAAGGAAAAGAAAAAGGTGTACTTTGTATCTAAATAATAAAAGCTATGGGTTAAGAATTCAAAATATGTTACTAGTTAGTTGAGCAAAGCAGGAGTTTTTGTTGATTTTATGGCTACATGGTAAACTATTTCTTTCAAGGTTTATTTACAATAGCAAATAAACTGTGAGGGAGACCATTGGGGTCAATAAGTGGTGCACGCGCGCGTGCACTCTCTCTCTCACACACACACACACACACACACACACACGCACACATCTCCCTTATAGTCTGTCTGACCTACTTCCAATCACCTGGTAGACTTGAAGAGTGAGATCCCCAGGAAAAAGGAATGACCTTTCATACAGTAATTCTCATACTTATTTTAAAAGGCAAATATTTGTAATTTCTTTTAAAGCAGCAGCTAGTGCTAGAACTTAGATGCATTCTCAGTGATTTTTGACTTTTCTAGGAACTGCAGAGAAAAATGTTTGCCTCATGAATGTGTGTGCTTTCCATGTAAATTCCAATAGTATTAAAATAATCTCATTTTGTCCTCTGATCTCCAGTTTTCCTCTGCTAAATTGTATGTTGACTGAATGTAGTATGCACTGATGTTCTTCAAGCAACAATGGGATATTTTTTTCAACTGCCCCAAATGCTTAACTTTTCCAGGTTTCCTTTAGCATTCCACTGAAGGAGGAGCCTGGCTGTTTTTGAAGGG